ACCGAGGGAATAAGTTATGAGGAACGACATCATTATGGGGTCAGAAATTGTAGACTTATTGTTAAATGAGGCATGGGACGCTGTCGTTGCCAAAGTTTTAAGTTAATTGCTGGCACCTCTCTTTGTGCATTTGATCAGACGCGAGAGGGAGAAATTCTTCTTGCCCTTCACCAACTGTCAACAGGCCAAATGAAATATGTGTCTTCAGAGTGGATGCAAACCTTTTTCATAGTTAGAGAAGAACGGGATGCAATGATTTAGGCATGTGGAAAACATACCTCTTTCCCCACTGTACTTATTTTTTATATTAAAGTAATGTACTGATGGTGTGCTTGAAAGGGTACGCTTGGACTGTCTTTGTGAGATTTTCTTCAACTTGACAGGAAAGCAATCCATGGTCATCTCTGACTTGCCTATATGTGGATCTTCCCATTTGTGAATTATCTGTGACACATTTTCCGACTCGGATGGCCTAACTAACCCCATTGCCCAGCAAATCTTAGAACTATTTGTCCCTGCTCAGGAAATGAAGAAATCATTTGAATATGAACCCAAACTAAAATGCAAGTCTGCAAGCCAGTGCCATGCAGAAATAAGAAACTATAATGTGGTATGTTTTCAAAGCCCTCTAGCAGAATGAATGGATTCCTTTATATCCCTATAGCCATTTTTACCAACTTCTATTATAACATTTATCACATTTTATTATGTTTTTTTCATTTGTCTGGCTGATCTGCTAGGCCTATGGGAGCCAGTTGTAAAGGGAGCTTTTAAATTCATTTTTCTTCTCCTAGCCCCCAATTCTATGTCTGCTAGTCAATAACATTTTTGTTGAATTAATTAATGAATAAAAGTACAAACGAATGAATAAATAAGGGTTTTGCATGATGGAAGCCAATATATGGCTTCTGTTAGGATATGGAGAATTGGTTATAAATAACATTTCACAGCATTTAAAGTTGTAAGTAGTCTTAGAGAATACCCAGTACAATATGTTTTTAAGCTTTTTTTTCTTTAAGTGAAAGAATTATGATTTTAGTAAAGAATTACTTTGAACTTTATAAAGTATGAGACAGGAAGTTTAAAACTGACCTAGGTGAAGAAGAGATGCATAGGCCAGCATCCCATCCCCTTGGCTACTCCACTGGCCGGACCAGAGCTCTGTCCCCAACATGACACCTCACGTCTCTGTGGAGAGCAGCATGGGAACAATGTTGCTGGTGTGGACTTAAGGAGTTTTCTACGAAGCCGGCATTTATGGCAGTCCCTCAAGGTTATTCTTCAATTGAAGAGTTGAACTCAGGTCTCCTGAATGAACACCACTTTTTCACCTATATTGTGTTTTTACCTCATCATTATTTCTGTGGTTGTTTCAGATCCCCCACACTCCTGCTCCCCTTCAACAAGACAAAGGAAAGAAGGCAGACTGTTACATCAATTAGTTTAAAAGGGGCAGACCCATGTGACTTAGCTGCTGCCGTCTGAAGTACTCTCCTGGTTTCTCTTCTAGCAGACAGTCACCCTTAGTGGGATACCCTGCGGTGTGACTGAGAGCTTATTGGACAGGATGCTTTGCAAGGCCCACACAGGATTTCTTAACCTGAACATGCATTAACTCTCCCATGGGCCAAAGTGGTTCAACCAGTCTGTTCTATGTGGTCGAGGGGCGTTGGTGTAAGAGAAAGAACAAATCCATAGAGAATCCAAAAACTTGAGAGCAGCTTGGCATCTCTAACTCCTCTTTTCTCTTCTAAACTTTCATCTGGGTCTTCTAAGAGGTAGCCAAAACAATGGTCTTATCTCACCAGATAGAGATGCAAACAGATCATTATGAGAATGATGATGGTAATGATGAGGGTAAGAGTACTGACAAGTTGGAGTGTGTGTTTGAGTTTACAGAGTATCGCCTATGGCATCCTTAAAGCAATCCTGTGTGGTAAGAGAGCAAGCATATGACAAAGTGACAAAACTGGATGTGAATGCTGAAAGGACTTATCCAAGTCGACACAGTAAGTGGCAGAAATGGGAACAAACTCAGGGCTCTTGCCTCTATACAATATAACCATGACAGGACAGTCTTTCAGTTACAGGAAAACAGCTAGTGGCTTCCAAGTAATTCTCCTATTAGGCTCTGCAACACTAAGGTGGCTAATCCTTTCTCCCTACTTCTCATTCTCTCTCCGTCACTTCTTCACTGTCTCCGTAAGGCTTCCACTGGGGGAGCTGAGCACTCTGAGGATAACACACAAATGTGGGAACAGGTGGAGAAGTCAAGGTCCAATAGAGGGAATGGAAGATCAGAGAGAGGTCCCCAAGCAGCCCTAGGGCCGCTGAGCAGGCACAAGCCTGGAGGGAAGTCTGAAGCTGGACACATCAAGGTGCCACAGCAGGACCACCGAAGGGGCTGGCATAGAAGTCTCCCAAAGGATGTTGGTTCTTCATCCACCTGGCCCTGCAAGTTCATAGCAAAGTGTCTGGTGGGGTTGGGGTGGCTGCTGGTCACAAGCACATACTGTCCCCCGATGGAAAGAAGCACTGGATATGGAAACGGGAGGACAGGAAGGTTGGATCCCGTTGGCACTTCCGCATCTGCCTCTTATTACCTCCACCCAATGAAAACCTCAGTGAAGTATGGTGGCTGCCCCACTTCGCTTCCTCCCCAAACTCATGCAACTTCACTTTTGCCAACTCCAATCCAGTACTGTACAGAAAAGGAGATACTGAGATATGTGGTGCCCAGCATAAAGAAACGGGCAACAGAACAATCCAGCATATGCCTCTATACTTTATTGAGAACACAATTTTGTACAAGTGAAAGATATTCCTTCTATACAGAGTCAACTCCTGAAAGCTTAAAACTTCTAGAAAAAAAACATAAGAGGAGATCTTTGTGACATTAGGGTAGGCAAATATTTCTTAAAGACCCAGAAAGCACTAACCGTAAAGGGAAAATTGAAAAATTAGAAATTGTCAAAATTTTAACTTCTCAACAGAAAATCCTGTATGAACGAGTGCATAAACACAATACAATGTAATGTGAAAACATCAATAGGGAAGCAACAGACTAGGAGGGAGTATTCTCAAACATGCATCTGTGACAAAGGACTTTATCCAGAATATACAAAGAACTCCTGTAAAACAACAACAAAAAAAGACAACTCAATGAAAAATGGATAAAACACATAAATGGGCAAGCCATGAAGGAAGACATACAAGTGACCAATAGGTGCATTAAAAAGTGCTCAACATTTTTGGCCATTAGGGAAATGAAAATTAAAACCACAAGGAGGGGTACCTGGGTGCCTCAGTGGGTTGAGCTTCTGCCCTTGGGTCAGTCATGATCCTGGGATCCTGGGATTGAGCCCCGCATCGGGCTCCCTGATCAGCGGGGAGTCTGTTTGTACCTCTCTCTCTGCCCCTCCCGCCCCGTTCATGTTCTCTCTCTCAAATAAATTTAAAAAAAAATCTTAAAAAATAAAACCACCTGGAGATGCCATTATATACTCATTAAAATAGCTAAATTTACAAAGACTAAGAAAATCAGACGAGGGTGCCTGGGTGGCTCAGTTGGTTAAGCGACTGCCTTCAGCTCAGGTCATGATCCCAGGGTCCTGGGATCAAGTCCCACATCGGGCTCCCTGCTCTGCGGGAAGCCTGCTTATCCCTCTCCCACTCCCCCTGCTTGTGTTCCCTCTCTCGCTGTGTCTCTCTCTGTCAAATAAATAAAATCTTTAAAAAAAAAAAAAAAAGAAAATCAGACGATGGTGAATATTTGGAACAACTGAAGTTCTAATGCATTGTTGCTGGAATGGAAAATAGTACAGTTACTTTGGCCATGAGGTTAAAAGCTTGGTATGAAGTTAAACATGTGCCTATCCTGTGAACTAGAAATTATACATCTAGACGCTTAGCAAAAAAAATGAAAACATGCACTTGTATGACTTGCATGAGAATGATCATAGTAGCTTTGCTCATAGTAGTCCCAAATTGGACGCAGTCATAATGTCCATCAGTAGGAGAATGGATACACAAACCATGATATATTCTTTCAATGGAATACTACTTAGTAATAAAAAGGAACAGATTACTGATACAACAACATGGATGAAGTTCAAAAATGTTACGGAGAATGGAAAAAGCCAGATATAAAAGAGCGTATACTGAATGATTCCATTTATATGAAAATCCAGAGCAGATAAAAGTAATGTGTAGGAAGAGAAATCTCAAGAGTGGTTGCCTGAGGGGGGCTGGGGTTTGGTGGGGATTGACCAGGAAGGAATAAGAGGAAACTCTCCGGGGTGCTTATTTGGATAGGGTGCAGAAGCTCGAGTTTGTGCATTTATCAAACTCATTGAACTATGGCATTTATGGACTGTACATTTTAGCACATGTATATTATGTTTTGAGAGAAAAATTTAAAACAATAAAGCAATCTATGCTTTGTTTGCACACCTATATAATATGAATGCATCTCTGACCCAGCTACTATTTCCTACATTCTACTGATACTCTGAATTTTAAAATCACAGACTCTAGCATCAGAATACATAAGCTTAAAGCCCAGATTCATCATTTTTTAGTTGAGTGATTCTAGGGACATCATTTGCACTCTTTGAGGCTCGGTATTCTCACCTGTAAAATAGAGAGTGATATTATACCCCTTGCAGTGTTCTTCTAAGGATTAACTGAGATAATGTGTATAAAGAGCTTATCACAGAGCTTAGAGCCACACTGTCCAATACTGTAGCGATTAGCTATGCATGGTTTTAAAAATTTAAATGGATTCAAATCAGATAAAATTACAAATTCAATTACTCAGTCACATTAACCACATTTCAGATGCTCCACAGCCACATGGGTTAGATACAGAATATTCCCATCATCAAAGAAAATTCTATTTGGATAGTGCTGTCATAGCTCAGTAAGTGCTGATTAAGTGCTAAATAAATATTAACTGTTATTACTATTAAGAGTAAAACACTTCCCTTAAAGATTTCACTTTTTATTGGAGAAATGAGACAATGAAAAAGCTAGAAAATGGTGTGATTAAGTACCACACCTATCTCATGGGAAGAGGGAGAAAGACTTTTAAAGAAAGCCAGGTGAGCATCACTAGGAGCGGCCACTGAACCGAGTGCTAGGTTGACTGTGGGCTCATCAAGACACATACGGATGAGAAGGTTGGTGCTCAGGCAAATTCTAGGAATACTGAGTGTATGCAGGCATGCTGACCATTACTCTTTTCTGGGACAGAATCCTTGAAGAGGCCAAGTAGACGCTGACAGGATGGTGGAATAGTAGAGGAGGGCTGGAAAGAATTCTAAGAAGAGAAGTCTGCTCGGACAAGACAAAACAGACAAAAGAAGAAAGGAGACTTGTTAGAGGTCTGTTTCTCATAACCAATAGACTTTGTAACAGTGGTGCTTGGCGTGGAATGACAGGACCCCAGGCTAAAGAGATAGGCAGGGCATAAATGAATAAGGATAATTTATGCTGTACTAATGCATGATTTGAAAAAAAATTTTAATAAACTGAATATGTAATATATTCATGTGGTCCAACAATCAAAAAGTATAAAGATAAACACAGTGAAAAGTACACATTATAGGTAACCTATAATTTGTTTCTTAGGTATCCTTCCTAAGTTTATTTTATCCCATATAAACAAAAATGTGTATGTGTGTTATCAATACATGTGGGTTCTATACATCTTGCCTTTCATCAGGTACAATGGAGATCTTTCCATATAGATACATATGAAATTATTCTAATATTTTCCTTTTACCCTTTTCTTTCTTCTTTTAAAAAAACAGCTGCATGGATTTCCATTCTGTGGGTGTAGGAGATTATATAATCAGTCTCCTATTAAAGGATATTTATGTTTCTAATTTTTTGCTACTACAAAAAATGTTGCAACCAACTTTGTATGTGAGTAATTTTCAAGTGTGAGTGTGTATCTTATAGGATGAGTTTTTAGAAATGGAATTGCAGGTCTGTGGGTTTACAGTTTTGGGGGATAGTGCCACATTGCTCTCTACAGATTCTTCCAATTTATGCTCTTAATGCCTATGCTTGCAAGTACGAGTTCTGCACAGGTTCTCCAGTAGAGATTGCTGTGAAACTTGGTGTGTGGGTGTGTGTGTGTGTCCGTCTGACAAGTGAATCCATGTAGTTTCCCTGTGCTATTTCTCTTGTTATGAACTTTTGCTGTTCCTTTCGTGAGAAACATCTGTTCATGTCCTTTGCCCACTTTTTTTTTTATTGTTAAGCATTTTGATTTGAACTTTATTCTCTTTCTCCTGGCAGTAGTCTTTGAAGGAATGCTGATGTGATCAGATTTGCATTTTAGAAAGTTATCTTTAGCAGAGGGCTTGAGAGAGTGTGCTGAAGCAGGAGAGACAGGAGATAAGAACACTAATAAAGAGTATATAATTCATGTTAAAATTTCAATGAGACATGCTAAGGGCTAGAAACTAGTGCACTTAAAACAGAAAGAAAGGAACAGATTTCTGAGATAATTGAAAGGCAGAGCAAAGCAGACTGGATTGGTGGATTGCTTGGGGTAAGGGAGGAGGAAGAGTTGAGGAAGATTCTCAGGCTTCTGATTTGAAGGACCGACCGAGTGGCCAGTCATGCCTGGCAGGGCTGGGACAAGAGAAAATTCTAGAAGGAAGCTGTGAAGTGTCTGCAGAATGTCTTTTAAGTTTATAATGTCCAGAATTTTGGGAGAGAGGCCAAGAGTCGAGTTGAAGATTTGAAATATGTATGTGATCTTATTAATCTGAGGTCCTTATAGGAACGCTCGCTGTTAATGGGGAAAGGGGGGGCAGAACTATCTGTGGTGCAGATTCTTGTAACTGCTTTAACAAGTGGATAAGATTCAGTTATAATTAGCATATTCTTTGTCTGAATGCAAATGTTCTTTCTAAATCTCCTCATTCTTAAGTAGGCTAACACTTCTCTTGTTTCCACCAGTAATTTGCTTGGCAAATCCTTTCTGTACTATTACAGGCAAAATCCTATTCTTAATGTCCTATGAAATACTCTGTTGCCAAGCTGACTTGCCCAAAGCAGCAATGTTTGTGGCTCTGACTAGGAGGACCCTCCCAGATCCTTCTGGGCTCCAGGAATCCCCCACCCCCCATCCCTGGAGTATTTTCTACCTTTCTAATGACCATGCTGTTCTAGGTGACACTGGCTGAGCTTAACACACTCAGGGGATGTCTCTTTAGTGTACAGCATGTCTTACTTAGCTTTGTATTGCCGGAACAGAGGGCGTGGCACATAGTAGGTGCTCAAGAAGTGAGCGTTGGAGGAAGACAGTCTTGACAGAGGTGCTTAGCGAACGTCAGACATGACGAGGGAGCTGCTTTTCCTTCCATTTTTCTCACCCTGTTTTATAGTTGACAAAACTCAGGAATATTGGGCAGAACCCTCCCACTTGTCGCCAGTGACTCTTCTGACCCCGCTCTACAAAATAATCAGGTGCCCGTTTGCTCTGTAGGCTGGGAGTGGGAGAGAATCGCAAACAAAGATAAATTGTACTATCGCCAAGCTGCATTTCAAGTGCTTACTCTGTCATGGGATATAAAGCAAATTTAAACACCACCCTGTGGAATTCTCCCAAACATCGTGTCCCACACACCTTTTCCTAAACTCACAAACTCAGAAAGAATCATGACAAAAAGAGGAGCTGGGTGTGCTGTCGGTGTGTGGGAGGAGGTGAGGAATGCATCGTAACTGCCTGGTGCTTTCTCCCACTTGTTATTTTACTACCGAGATGCGTGGTCTCCACAAATTACTTCCTGAACGTTTACCTTAAACCTCCAGTCCAGCTGGACTTAGCAGTCTCTCTCTATATCTTGAGTTTTTCATTTTTCTGTTTGCTTTCCATTTTATTTGTATTGCGGTATAGCATCTGTGTATAGAAATGCACAGCTCAGGAGTGTATAAAGCTTAATGAATTTCCACAGTGTGAACACATCCATGTGAACCCCAACAAAGATCCAGAAATAGAACACCACTGGACTTCCATTCTATTGGAACTTCTTCTTCTAGTACCCACTCCTGGTCGCTACCTCTTTTTCTCTCCAAAAGCAATCATAGCCAATATCTTGCTTCTAACGCTATACGTTTTGCCTTGGAAAGGTCATATAAGTGGAACTGTGTGCAGTGTATTCTCTTTCGTGTCTAGTTTCTTTTGCTGGAGATTATACGTGTGAGATTCATCCATGTTGCTGCAGTTATGAGTGGTTCATTAATTTCATTGCTATATGCTATTATATTCTACGAATATACCACAGTGTATCCATTCTTCGGATGATAGACATTTGGGTTGTTTGGACTTATTGGCTGTTATGAATTGTGCTTCTATGTAGATTCTTGTCTGTGTTATTGTTTATGGTGCCCCCTTTCCCTTGAATTTCCATCTTCTCAGCTCTATCCTAAAACTCCTTAATTCCTAATTCGGATTTACCTAATTACTCTGGCTGTAAATGAGCTTCCTCAACTCCCAAAAGCTTCCACCTTCCTACTCTCTTAAAGTACATCTCATATATCAGCAAATGGTTCTTTATATTAAAACCATTTATACGTGTGAATTATTTCCGCTATTAAGTTATGAGATTATAAGCTTCTTAGGGCAGAAAGTGTCTCATTCTTCTTGTTATTTCTAAGTACAGTGTCTGGCTTATAGTAGAAATTCAATAAAGGTTCAGTTAGTGAATGAATCGATGACTTAGGAAAATTTTTTTCTAACGTGTGATACTGCTTCAGTCTGATTGAACATGCTCCATTTTGATGACAGGCTGATTAGCAATAACATCTCTGGTCAAACAGTTAAAATATAGATTTTTTTTTCCAATTCAACTGTAAGCTTCATATGGTCAATACTTAAAAATATCTAAAAATTAATTTTTAAAAATCAGGAAATATGGTACTCTTAAATGGAAAATCTATTAATAATCTCATATGCCACTCTGTGTAGATCCTTGGCCATATTGTTAAAAAAAATTACTGCTATAGTTGGTATCCTTTCAACAAATAATTATTTTGTACTTACTATGTGCCAGGTGTCATGCTAGACCCACAATATGCTCTCTATTTACTTCACTTATTAACAGAAAGTGGTCAGAACATTCTTATTAGGGGGCTATTTTGAATTCTTCATTATGTCCATGATTTAGCTTTAAGCAGCTTCTTCCAGACAAAGAAGCTCAGGACATACTACACAGAATTAATTAAAATCAAGAGGCCAAGAGATAGAAAAAGAAGAGGAAATGTTGGTGTTTAGGGAATGTTAATCACTCACCAGTCTCTGTTTTGGCTTCTAAGCAATTAAGAGCAGACAAGAAGCCAAATAGAGATTGCAATATTAGCTTTTAAATTGGTTAGACCGGATCTCTGAACGCGACAGAACCTTCTGTGTTTTGCTCCAAAACCAGTGTAGATAGATCTCACAGCAGAGAAATTAGAAGTAAAGGGTGAGAGTTCCAGCCATCGAGAGCTAACCACTCAGGGTTCAGAAGCACAGAAAAGCTCGCTTCACTGAAGGCCAGGTTTTGAGGGAGAAAGAGCAAGATAGGGTAGAGCTGGCTTTCTATTTTAATTTTATTTTTAATTTTTATTTATTCATTTTTTTTGCTCTTGGCCTCAGGCACTCCCTAATCTCAATACTCTGATAATCATGCTGATGAGCAAGTAGGGAGTGAGAAAGATGAAAATATTCACTCAAGTATTTCTCCCTCACAGAGGGTGGAGGAAGAGATGCCCCATCCTCTTTATGGGACCCTGAGGGGAGGCAAAGAGAGAAGACAAGGAAGAGAGATCAAAAGTAAGAATGGGAACAAAAACGAGGTGGAGAAAAAGATGGGAACATTCCCCCTCTCCCCCCTTACCCCCAGAAATGTCAAAATCAAAACAGTTGAGAAATGCAGAACGGTAAAGGAGATTTTTAGTGTGAAGTGAAAGCTAAATTTTCAAAGAAACAGGGGGAATTAATTTGTAGGTAAATGGGAAAAGAAAGAGAAATTATAGGAGATCCGTATCACCACACTGTTTTGGTGGATCTCTACAGCCTAGAAAAGGTGAATTGAGAATGTCGTGTTCCTGGAAAGAGTTGCACGGCGCATGCGCCCAGCCTTGATGGACGGGCACTGGGAAGAAAGGAGGACTGGGCTCTGGTTTCCTGTGGACAATGGCTGATAGGGTGGATCTGTCTCAAACTCCAAGAGTCGTGGTTTGTTTCGTTCTTTTTTTTTTTTTTTTTTTTTTTTTAGTGCAGAAAAATGTAGCAATCAAGGATATCTCGAGATAAAGAGCTGGCAATGTGTAATTGGAGCTGTCGCTGAGAGAAAAATCTCTTTTGAGGAAAGAAGATCTGTTTCCTTTTCCCTCTTTTTTTAATCCACCAATACTGCATCCTCTACCTTCAGTAAAATTTTATCTGCCTTTTGCTTGTTTTTAGAATCACTAAATAGGTTGGATTAACCTTCTACTTTTTTAATTTTAGTTACTAGATATAAAAAATGATCTGAATTATGATTCTCAAATGTTTACCAATGCGTTGAGAAATGCAAGGTAAAGATGCATGAAGCGTAGGTATTCTGCTTGAGTCGCCATCAGGAGTGGGATCTCAGGACTGGACCCATTTCCCACCCACACCTCCAAACGCTGTGTTAGAGCTGTAGAAGGGCCCTATGGTCTTCTTACCTGTTGTCTGGCCTTTTATAAGCTTCCTCCTAGTGCCAAATCCTATAGCAATGCCTTAGTCTTAATTCTGCCTTGATATTCACACTCCCTGGAATAGTTTCATGGACAATTCAATTTTTATAAGGCCATTTAGCATGAAGAAGGGGGACCTGTATCACCTCAATTCAGAAAGACAAATCAATAGGGAAAGAGGTAATGCTAGAGAGCAGAGCCAAAACCAATTTAGCAACCAATATTTTTTTTTTTTTGAGTGTTGTCTTTTTTTTTTTATTCTTATGTTAATCCCCATACATTACATCATTAGTTTTAGATGTAGTGTTCCATGATTCATTGTTTGTGCATAACACCCAGTGCTCCATGCAGAACGTGCCCTCCTCAATACCCACCACCAGGCTAACCCATCCTCCCACCCCCCTTCCCTCTAGAACCCTCAGTTTGTTTTTCAGAGTCCATCGTCTCTCATGGTTCGGCTACCCCTCTGATTTCCCCCCCTTCATTCTTCCCCTCCTGCTACCTTCTTCTTCTTCTTCTTTTTTTTTTCTTAACATATATTGCATTATTTGTTTCAGAGGTACAGATCTGAGATTCAAGTCTTGCACAATTCACAGCGCTTACCAGAGCACATACCCTCCCCAGTGTCTATCACCCAGTCACCCTATCCCTCCCACCCCACCCTCCACTCCAGCAACCCTCAGTTTGTTTCCTGCGATTAAGAATTCCTCATATCAGTGAGGTCATATGATGCATGTCTTTCTCTGTTTGACTTATTTCGCTCAGCATAACACCCTCCAGTTCCATCCACGTCGTTGCAAATGGCAAGATCTCATTCCTTTTGATGGCTGCATAATATTCCATTGTATATATATACACCACATCTTCTTTATCCATTCATCTGTCGATGGACATCTTGGCTCTTTCCACACTTTGGCTATTGTGGACATTGCTGCTATAAACATCGGGGTGCACGTACCCTTTCGGATCCCTACTTTTGTATCTTTGGGGTAAATACCCGGTAGTTAGCAACCAATATTAATGATGGGATAGCTGTTCATGGAGAACTAGAGTCATCCATAACCCTAAGAAATGGATAGACCCATGAGTGAGTTTTAACTACCACTGATTATTGGAGCACTGGCAAAAATGCTCCAATGTGCTCTATGCCCTAAGTTCAATAAAATCTTGATTTCTGAAGAAAACCTCTTGATTTCCTAAGCACACCTATGTGAAATAATATCATCAAAGCATTTACTTTAAATGAAAAGAGGAATAAAGCGATATATGGTATTAAAGGCAATTATGTATGCAAAAAGCAAACTGTACTGGTGATTGGTTATTATAAAAAGTCAACACATGACATATGAATGCAATGAAGGCACTTACAGAAGCAAACTTCACAAAGTTTGCTCATGTAGGTGATCTCACTTGTGGTTAATGATGATCCTGAGAGAGACACAGGGCAGGGCTTGCTATCAGATCTTTCTAGTTGAGAATAGAGGTTTAGTGGCACTCAGTGCCTTGCTTAAGGTCACATGACTTACATGGAGTGTAATTATGACCAGAACAGACTTTGGTTCCCCACTCCAAAGTTCTCTGACTTAAAGGAGAGTGCGGGCTAAGAGTCTCGGCTCCAGCTTCCAGGCTCTGGGCGAGACTCTACCCAACTCTACCTAGATGTTGTCTAATTGATTCATTGATCCTACATTAGAGCCTTTTGGGGATGGGGATTCAACACAATGTTAAGTGTTGTTGTTTTTGTCTTTGGTGCAAATGTCCGTTCTCATATCTAACAGCTATTTGTTTGTTTGTTTTCTGCTGCAATTTAAAATCAGTTTCTCTCATTCTGCCTTGATACACAAGGCAGTTTTGGTCACACTCTGTTTTGCTTCCTAAAAGATAGTTGATTCTATTTCAAACATTACTCCTAATTCTTGAGTTAATGTAGCTCCTATACCTTGCTTTTGCTCCAAATTCTCTACATGCTTCATCCTCAAATAGATCTTATAATGATCATACAAGTAAAACCCCATTGTGACCAATATCAGCAATAACATACAATTTACGCATTTAAAAACTGTCCATTGTCTTGGGGTCAAGATAGTGGACAGGGGGTTTGTTTCTTCTTTGAGCAAATTATTATTATTTTTAAATTTTTAAAAAAGATTTTATTTATTTATCTGACAGAGAAAGAGAGAGAACAGCAGAGGGAGAGGGAGAAGCAGACTCCCTGCTGTGCAGGGAACCTGATGCGGGGCTCGATCCCAGGACCCCGGGATCATGACCTGAGCCAAAGGCAGACACTTAACCGACTGAGCCACCCAGGTACCCATCTTTTAGCAAATTATTTAAGCTCTTTTACTCTCCTCTTCCTCCTCTAAGAAATGGAGATAATCATGCATATGCTGTCGGCCTTGTCTAGTGACGAAAAACAAGTGTAGTCAAACATGAACCGCTTTGTAAATTCTAAGGAGCTATAAAAATGAAAAATTTCTTTCTACTATAATGAAGTCCTTGCATATCTGAGTGTAAAGATGCTTTTTGAGAGTCTAGGTTAGAGAGCGTTTCCTAAAGATTTTGTGGCTGATGAGAAGCAAGAAGGTGGAGGGGAAAGAGCCTGAGCTATGGGTCAGATGGACCAGTGAGACTCTGGCTCCGTCACTTCCTATTGTGGGGCTTTGTCGATGTTAGGGTCACTCCGGTCCCTAGTCTATGCACCTAGAATGTCAAGATGCTGTCTTGGGACTGTTGTGAGGAGTAAATGCATATAAATGGCACTGAATAAAAGGTAGCTCTAGCTATCATCCTGTTACGTATGTATTTTGGACCCTGGTTTTCCTTTGGTATAATTGTGCAAATATATATATATAGTATAGTAGATCACAACAGATTCCTTACAAGAGAAATTCTGTATAACATGCTACTTCTGGGCCTAGGCCTTAAGACCATGGAATGCTTCTTCTATGTTCCCTCTTTCTTTTCCTTTTTTAAAAAAAAATATTTATTTATTTATTTGAGAGAGAGAGAGAGAGAGAATGCAGGGGGAGGGACAGAGGAAGAGGGAGCGAATCCTGAAGCAGACTCCTCACTGAGCGTGGAGCCAGATGTGGGGCTTGATCCCAGGACCCTTAGATCATGACCTAAACTGAAACCAAGAGCCGGATGCCTGACTGAGCCACACAGGTGCCCCTATGTTCCCTCTTTCTAACCTGAGTTTTGAACCTACTTCATTGACACAGAAGAGAACAATACTCAGGAGTAATAGAATAGAAGGAACCTCTGATCCATGAGTGGGTACATGGGATGTAGCTGCCCATCAAACTGGAATGCTCACCTCTGTGGTTCTGTAAGATATACAGTAATTTCTTTCTGCATTTTTGTTGTATCTCTTTGTTACAGAAACTTAGACTTACTCCAGAACAGAGGAAGTTTTCTTACCATGTTAAAATTAGTAGAATGAAAGATGCTTTATTTAGACAAAATTTTTGTATGTAGTTAACTTTTTTGGAAACCTGTTAAATGATAGTGGGCAAGTGGTTTATAAGATTTTAATGTTTTAAAAATGTTTTATTAGTGAAGTTTAGTATTTTTAAAATGTGCATATACAGTCATTATTCTAAAAGCTAAACTTAAGTCTTTCTTAATGTAAAAATTGTTCTGGACAACTTTAATTGGTAAAGTAATAAAAATAATAATGATAAAAATATAATAAATAAAAATATAATAATGATAATGATTAAATCTCATATTTCCCTAGATTTTGTTTTTTGGAACATGAAACACATGTATTCTTTGGATATTGTTGTCAACATCCTGAATTATATATTATGATCCCTCTTGCTTAGAAGAAGGAAGTGGGGCTGAGTGCTGGGCAGTCTGTCCAGAGCAACACAGTCTATACGTGGTGGAGCTGAAATTCAGGTTTGACACTCCAAGATTCTAGTGGCAGGACAGCAACCATCTTGGTTTTGAAAGCTTGTGTAGGAGTGACTTGAATCTCAGGACTTCATGATTTCGTATATTATTTCCCATTAAAAATTGGCCTAGCTTCTGAGTTACTTTTTCCAAGTTAGCTCTGTGCTAGGGGAAAAAAAAGGTCAAGTTTTAGCGATTGGAAAATTGGCACATTTTCTTTGAATTAATCCATTCAATTATTTAGCAAATATCTATCAGATGCCTATTATTTGGAGAAAAAGATGAATCAGACACCTTCCCTCTCTGCATTTGGAGAGTTTCTATATCCCAGTGCTTTCTGCAGAATAGATGGTCAATGACTATTTGTGACCTAAATCCTGGAGAGACAAACAGGATGTCCAGGCCGTATAGATGGCTTGCTGTGTAGACCCCATGGATGAAAATCCCACGTATTATTTCATTTACATATCAATTCCACAAAAGGGAACCTGTTATTCAAATTGTACAAAGGAAAGGGCTGATGTTCAGAAGGTGACTTCTGAGTTACACAGCTACTAAATGATGGAGTCAAGATTTGAACCCGATCCTGCCAAAGCAGAACGACGGGCCCTCCTCTTCCCCAAGGAGGCCATCCTTAAGTCCAGGAGCCAAGAGCTGGAATGTCCTTTTCCCAGAAAGGTAAAACAAGGCTGTTCTTTCTTCTAATCACTGCTCTATAATTTATATTCTTAGGCTGCAACGAAGTGTCCAGATTCATTTCCTATAGGGCACCTATGCTTCTCACCAGGCTTGCTGATCAAAGAGACACTATTTTGAAAATAACGGGGCCCTGTTAGCAGTCTCTTCCTCTGGTCCTGCTAGCTCTCCTCTCCACTTCTCCATTTTCCAAGGCTGGGTTCATCTTGTTTTTTATAACAGCCTCTATTATACATGACTGGATATGTAGGCAGAGGACACGTGTAGTAAGCCAGCTTAGAGCATGGCTTAGAATTCAGATTCTCTCTCTGGCAGCCCAAAGTCATTTTGAACCCTCCCTCCTTATTTCAGCCATTTTTACCAGGTGCTCTCAGTTCTAACTGGGCTAAAGACCTGTGTGTGTGTGTGTGTGTGTGTGTATGTGGAAATATATATATATACTCTCTCTATATAATAACAGTTTTATTGATGTATAATTAATATACCATAAAATTCAACCTTTTAAAGTGTGTATTCAGTGATTTTTAGTATATTCACACAGTGGTGAAGCCATTACTACTACTAACTTTACATTTTCATCAATCCAAGAAGAAACCGTGTATTTATTAGCAGTCACACATTCTTTTCTTCTCCATATCCCTACCTAACCCTCCCCTCAACCAGTAGTCCACTTTCTGTCATGATGGAATGATATAATTTGTGGTCCTTGATGCTTTGGTGACTGGCTTCTTTGACTTAGCATGTTTTCAAGGTTCATTCATGTCGTACCATGAATCAGCACTTCCTTCCTTTCTGTGTCCAAATAATATTCGATTGCATGGATGTACCACGTTTTATTTACCCATTCATCAGGCGATGGACATTTGGATTGTTTTCATTTTTGGGTTATTGTGCATAATGCTGCTATACACATCTGTGTATAAGTTTTTGTGTGAGTATGTGTTTTCACTTCTCTTGGGTGGATGTCTAAGATGTAGGTATTACATATTATCTGTATATTAGGAGTGTGATTGCTAGGTCATCTGGTAACTCTTCTGTTTAATATTTTGAGGAACTGCCAAACTGTTTCCAAAATGGCCGCATCCTACCAGCAATGTCTGAGGACTCCAAAAAATGTTGATATATTCTGGAGGACACTTGTTATTGTCTCTTTGTTTTGTTTGGTTTGGCTTTAGTCATCTTAGGGGGTGTGAAGTGGTATCTCATTGTGGGTTTGAATTACATTTCCTAGTGACTAATGACATTAGTCATTATTTCATGTGCTTATTGGCCATTTATTTATCTTCTTTGGAGAAATGTCTGTTCAAATCCTGTGCTCAATTTTTAATGAGGTTATTTATCTTTATGTTATTCTGTGGTAAAAATTCTTTATATATTCTGAATATAAATACCTTACCTAATATATTAGTATTGCAAGTATTGTCTCCTGTTCTGTGGATTGTCTTTTCTTTTAACAATATCCTTGAAAGCACACATTTAAATTTAATGTAATTGTTGATATAGTTGGGTTTTGTGTCATTTGCTATTTTGTTTCTCTTTACTCTCTGTTCTTTGTTTCTATTGTATTCGTTTCCTGCTTTGAGTTAATTGAATATTTATGTGATTTCTTTTTATTTCTTTTATTGCCTTATTATCTATACTTCCTTGTTTTTGTTTTTAGTTGTTGCTCTATTATTTACAACATCATCTTTAACTCATCATACTCTAATTTTAAACATTATTATACCAGGTAACATATAATGCAAAAACTTCACAATGTTGCCTCATTTTTCCACTGATTTTTTTGTGTTGTTGTTTTCATAGTTTTCACTTCTGCATATGTCAAAAACTCAAATACACTATTTTTGTTTTAAATAATCAATTGTTATTTGTATGGAATCAGAAAAGACCCCGAATCACCAAGGAAATGTTGAAAAAGAAAAACAAAGCTGGGGGCATCACATTGCCTGATTTCAAGCTGTATTACAAAGCTGTGATCACCAAGACATCATGGTACTGGCACAAAAACAGACATATAGACCAATGGAACAGAATAGAGAACCCAGATATGGACCCTCAACTCTATGGTCAAATAATCTTCGACAAAGCAGGAAAAAACATGCAATGGAAAAAAGACAGTCTCTTCAATAAATGGTGCTGGGAGAATTGGGACAGCCACATGCAGAAGAATCAAACTTGACCATTTCCTTACACCACACACAAAAATAGACTCCAAATGGTTGAAAGACCTCAATGTGAGACAGGAATCCCATCAAAATCCTAGAGGAAAACATAGGCAGTAACCTCTTTGACATCGCCCACAGCAACTTCTTTCCAGATACATCTCCAAAAGCTAGTGAAACAAAAGCAAAAAATGAACTTTTGGGACTTCATCAAGATAAAAAGCTTTTGCACAGCAAAGGAAACAGTCAACAAAACAAAGAGGCAACCCACAGAATGGGAGAAGTTATTTGCAAATGACACTACAGATAAAGGGCTGGTATCCAAGATCTATAAAGAACTTCTCAAACTCAACACCCCAAAAACAAATAATCAAGTCAAAAAATGGGCAGAGGACATGAAAAGACACTTTTCTGAAGAAGACATACAAATGGCTAACAGACACATGAAAAAATGTTCATCATCATTAGCCATCAGGGAAATTCAAATTCACATTGAGATACTACCTTACACCAGTTAGAATGGCAAAAATGGACAGGGAAAGAAACAACAAA